TTAAATATTGTCTTGGTTTTATTGGGTTTTGTATGTTTACAATTGAGGTAAAAGTTTGGACAATTTTACACATTTTTTTTACCAAAAAAAAAAAAAAAAAAAAAATAAATAAATAAAAATAAAAAAAAAAAATCGATGATTTAGAATCTTCAGAGTCTTATGCATTTAATAAAAAAAAAAAAAATCCGGTTGCAAAAATAAATTTTTGAATTTTTCATAAAATTAAGTTCGGGGGGGTGTAACATATATAAAAAAAAAAAAATATTTATACCATGACTTTCAAAAAGGCAAACATTTCTAAAATAATTTCATTCATTTGTGAATAAGTTCTGAAAGTTTCATAAAAATCCAACAAGTACTTGATTTTTGCAAGATTTTCCAAATCAATGTGTATTTTTCCAACTGAAAATAGTTAAAAACAAAAAAAAAAACTAAATGCTAATATTACCTAATTTTGACTAAAAAAAAAAAAAAAAAAAAAAAAATTTTCAACCTAAATTTAAAATATGCTGCAAATAAAAAAAAAATTTTTTTAAAATAATTAAAAAAATACCTTGGTCTTCCCTCTTTAATTTTAAACAATCATTTACACGTTAAAAAAAATTTTTTTTTATCAATTTGGGGACCTTTTTCTCCAGGGTATACCATTTTTTTAGCGTTACCTGGTACGTCCCTATTAGGTACCTCCGTGAGACAAAACAGAGCATAGCATGATGAAAAAGACGCCAAACTTGACGAAAACAAAATTTTCGCGTAAAGTGTTTTTTAATTATTCTTTAAATTTTTTCCTTCTTTTTAGAACATTCTAAATTTTGATTGAAAAACCTTGTTTCTCTTCGTGTCCAGTGGAACTAAACATAAAATAAAATAGCGCGTTTTTTGTGTATGACAGATATTCATTTTTGAAATCTTTCAAAAATAAAAATAATTGTCGGATTTTTAATGAAACTTAAATGTTTTCTTTTTTTTAAAGTCATTTTTTCTTTCATGTGTACCCCCCACTACCTAATTGTACGAAAACTCTATACAAAAATATGTAAAACTACGTTGTAAAATAATTTTTATCAGTCAACATCAAATATGTTCGTTAAATTGATATATTTTGGGATAAGTAAACTTACGATTTCGCCAAGTTAAACAGTGACGTAATCCACAAGAGAAAATTTTAAGAAACCATAGAAGTAGCTAGACACTTCAGCGCAATTTAAAAAAAAAAAAGCCTAAGAGTTAAAATATATCGTCATTTGTATGCTTACTAAAAAGATTAGAAAAAATGCCTACAATATAAAACCGGAGATATTTGCATTTGAAAAGTTGTTTACTTACACTTTAACAACACTAACACTGAAAAGAGGTGAGGGAACTAAAAAAAAAAAAAAAAAAAAAAAAAAAGGGAAATTTTTAGACGTCCGACCACTGAAGATGTAATAATCAACCACATAGGAGAGTGTGTTGAAAAGTTCTCAGTCCGGCCCACTTACAAAAAAAACTGACCAAAACAGAACCAGAACTTTACAGCACTTCTTCGTATGTTAAATTTCGATGATCGACCATGAAACTGTTTATTTCAACATTAAAAAAAAAGCTTAGAAGCTGCCTAAGTACCTAAATGTGCTGAATCCTAACATCTGTTCGTCGCCGAATATTGAAATTCAGAATTTACTAAATGCTAATTAGAAGCTGTCCGATAACTAAAATATTGTAAATTCCGAGCACTGGAGGTGTTAAAAATATTTAATTTCGATACTAATTCCAAGTACCTCCCTCCACGCAGGTTTGATGAAAAAATATATTATCTCCCTTACTTGATATTTATTTTTCACCCCAACTGTATTTTTTCTGCTGAATTTATCCTACATGTTAAGTTCTTTGTCCAACTGTTCCTCTTCCCAGACATTTTCCCTCAAAACTATTCAAAGTCAACCAACTAAAACTTACGTGTTTGTGGTGTTTTCTGTTTTGTTTTGTTTTTTCCCGCCTATCGCTTTTCATCAAACGTACATCTAGGTAAATAAAACTTAGAAGTAAAATAAACAGTCCTGTCTTAGTCGCCTCGGATTTCCGAAAATGGATAATCCCCTGGAGTCTTCCTCCACGAAGCTACAACGCGTACACACCATCACTGACAGTGGGAGAGAACAAAAGAAACTAGGAATCACGAGTATTTTAAAAATTGTGGGGGGGAACAGAACACACCATGTGACTAACGCAGAGTTAAAAATACCAAAATTAAATGTAGTTGAATGTTAAATTTTTTAGCATCCTTCAATAGCCAATTGTTAAAGTTACATTATGATTACTTTTAGTGTCCGAGTAGCTTTTATTGTCATTATGCTCTTGGGAAAGGCAAGAGACCATTTCTTCTCCTCCCCATCTGCAGGTTAAATAACAGGGTAGACTTTGTCTTCTTGAGTGACAGCCAATCTTAGAGGACGATTCTGAATTCAAAACCATGGATAAAGCAATAGGGAAGCATTCTAATATCTTTCCAAATAAAACAAAACTGGAAAAACAAGATCATCTCCAGGTCATGACATGATAAAAAAATATTTACAATTAGTGCAAAATATCTTTTTTAGCAAGTCCTTTCAAAACATAGGCGGATCATGATTCTCCAAATTTTTTCAATATCTGTGAATTGTCATGATTTCTTGGAAAATATTGTGGAGTTGTTTCCTATTGTTTTGAATCCAGAATTGTCCTCCGAGACTGGCTGCCATACTAAGCTTCAGAGCCTGTAACTGTTATTTAACTCGTAGGTGAGAGAAGAAATAGATTCATGCTCAACCACTTCCACCCCCGCCAAAGGTATTTATGTGAAAGTGAACAACAGATTAGGCTGAAATTTCACTATGAAATTACCAAATCATACATACAGCTCATCTGAAGTTATAACTCGAACTTCACTAACTCAAATTCAAACTAGTCCATTTCCACCCTTGGTAAAAAAAAATCCCTAACTTTTAGCCACTTTAATGGTTATATTTTGAGATATTTGGAATTTACGAAAATAAACTGACCAAAGTTATTAAGCAGAAACTAAATCTAATAAACCTTTTCCCCCCATAATATCTATTGAAACATGGATAATGGAAAGGATCTAACAAATGCTGAAACAAACAGAAATGTCCACTTTGAAGATATCAAAGGAGCTTCACAGAAATCATTGAATGATCGAGAATTAGAAGCAAAGAACTTTAAGAACTTGTCTCAAGTTTAACATTAATTAAAGCAAGTTAGCAAAACAACCACTTTTGATCAGTATCCAGATCTTTGAACAGACTGAAATTGAGTGAGTTAAAAAGGACAAAAGTTGTAGAATACTTTGCAAAACAGGATCTGTCAAAAAATATCCGAGGCAAACTCCTCTCAGTAAAGCAAATATTTTAAAAAGCATGAAAATTGAGCCAAGAAATGCATGAAAATTAACTTTTCTAAAATAATTTTCATCGACGAATTTCAGGTGACACTCAATCAATAGACTTAATGGATGGATTTTTTATCTGATGCAGATGTACCCGTGGTTAAAAGGGGACAGCAGAGTGATGATATAAGCTAGAATTGTCAACCAAACCATTATTGGACCAGTCAAAGTCGATGAAAGAGCTTAAGTAAACTTAAACAGTGCTAGAAATTTCACGGATGAGACTTTCTTTGAAGGATACAACTACCAACATCACAGTTTCAAAGTCAAGTGTGTATTTATGCACGAAAATGCTACTTTTCATGTATCTAAGATTATGCGTGAATTTTTTTTTAATTGAAAAGGCTTACAAGAGAGATGATAATGGAATGGCCACTATCAAGACTCAATCTGAATCCAATCAAAAATCTATGGTCAATTGTGAAGATGAAATTATTATGGTGGCAAACAATGAGAGCAAAGCAGACCTATGGGAAGCAATCAAAACTACCATGTCGTAAATTGAACCTGTTGAAGTAAAAAAAATAAAAATTAATTAATGGATAATACTATAATGTTGGCTGTTATTGAGAAGAAGGATCACCATGTCCAAAACAATCTCTAAAACACTACACAATGATCCTCCTCCTCAAAACTTTTGGAAATGCTTTAAAGACTTTAAACAAACATAACATTTGTTTGTTATTCTTTTGCAAATGTTGATAAATTGTTGATTTTATTACCTTGTTATTGAAATAAAGTTATTTTTTGGTTTTGTATAACTTCAGACTAAATAAAATTAGCAAATGAAGTTATTGGTGATCGTCATTAAAAATGTTTCAAGAAAAGCAAAACAAAAATATTTAAATTATTAAATTCATGGGTAAATTTCGAAACTGTCTCAGCTTAAAAAAATTAAGCTGCTTTCGAAATTCTAAAAAAAAAAAAAAAAAAAAGTGAAAGTTTGTTACAAACTAAAAATGATGAGGAACTTACGACTTAGTTTTTAAATCTGCCGCTAACTTAAGAAAAATAGATATATTAAAATATGTCAATATCTGAAACTACAAAGATGAGGATATAAAATAAAAATCAATCAATCATAGGAAATACCTAGGTAGGGGGATCTATGACCATTTTTCCCATTTTTTAATCATCCATTACTTGTAACAGGCTAGTCAATAAGAATTCTAAATTCTTTTAATTTTTCCTCTTTTTAAACATTACCTTCGAAGCATAAAGTGACATTTTTATTATCTAAAAAAGCAAAAGAGGTAAAACTGTTACCAACATTTTCTTATGACTATAACTTTTTTTTGTTACTTTGTACAACAATATTTTTAATGAACATACAACGCAAGGAAGTTCTTTGCAGCACAAGTTAAAAAATTACTATGCGGGGTTAAACTTTTATTAAAACATAGATTTTTAAAATAATATACTGTAATACTAAATGATCATGCACATATTTTATAAAGTTGAATTATAAAAATAATAATAAAGTTCTTTTTTAAAAATCAAAATAAACAAATCCCCCCGAAAAAAAAAAAGACAAAGTGAAAAATGGAAAGGAACAAAATCAAAATTGTTCACTTACCACAAGTACAGCGATGGACTTCAAACTTTTCCTTCCACTCATCAATCTTGGTTTGCTGCGAACATATATAATTTTCCAATTCTTTGCTGTCTTTTACGGACAAAGAATCTAGCCATTTTACGTCAGACAGTGAACGGCGAAGTTCTTCCATTATACTCTTGTTACGTTTCGTGCCCGCCATTCGCAAATGCGATAGCCGCTTGAATTTTAACTACCGGAAGCGGAAGTCTCATCAAATTTTGTCCAACACCGTAAATACACATGGCGCCGGAATGATACAAACGAGATTTATTAAAAAAAAAAAAAATTGACTATTTAGTGTATTTTTTAAAAAAACTAAAAATATATCCTAATATTTTAAATTACTTAATTATTTTTGATAAAACAGAAATACAGTTTACACATATTTTATAGTAAAACATTATATGAGTCTCTGGATTAATTTGAAAAAGATTACAAATCATTTATTATGAAACAAAAACAAAAGAAATATTAAATAAATTTACAAAAATGTTATATATTACAAATTTTACAATGCAAATTTTAGAAAAATAAATATAATTCGAAGTAAGGGTTTAATGTAATGTCAACTTCAGCTTTACGTGATTTAAAAAAATCAGATATTTTCCCAGAAAAACCAATGATTGTCTTGAAAATTAAAAAATTGTTACCATTTTTTTCAACTTTTGGGTCTTTTTCGATGACCAAACAAAGTTAAGCAAAAAGTTTGAATTAAAATAATATTGATTTATGATAAGTTAAAACGTAATTCTCTCTTAAGTGGCAAAATTAACCAGTAAGTTTGAATTAAATTCAGAGTTAGGGTAGATGGAGAAGGTTAATGGACTAATATTTTTAAGAGGGTAGTAAGTAATAGCCATCCAATAAAAAACACAATTACCATTAACTATTTCTTTGTCCTTTTAAAAAATCATTGTTTTTCTATCAGGCTATCAGTGTTCCCTAAAAATTTTGCCCGATGACTATAGTCACCAAAATCAATATATACTCCTTGCACAATCAGCCTTTTAGGTGGCCTACCCCATCAGCAGGGTTGGACCCTCTGCTAGTCATTACAAAGTCTTACAGTAAAAGTAGGGGAGTAAAACTAGTTATTAAGTGGATAACACCACTAGAATTCATATTTCCAGTCCTGCATGTAGATAGGCCAGTGACAAGTGATAACTTGGTGCAGATCTGGGAAATAATTGCACCATCTGACAGCACCCTAAGCAACCAAGTAACTCTTTCTAAAGACAACACTTGCTGGTCTGAAAGGAAACTAAAAATTGTAGCCTAAAGAAATTTTGTCTCCTACTCATCCCAACTGGTTTATTAAACCAGCAGCTTTCATAAATGGTTACACAACAACACTAATTCAGTTCAAACTGAACAGAAACACTGGTTAGATGAAGACAACTGCAAAATTATAGATCTACTGGCAGAGAAGAGAGTCAAACACCAAGTTCACCTTGCTCAATCATTATACTCAGGAAAGAAACAAGCCACACTCTGAAGAACAAACCTTTGCTAAAACAACCCAACTTTGTGTCTATAACAGCAACCTCAAGAGTTTTTACCAAACCCAAAAAACAGCATACAACCCCATTTACTAGACATTAAACACACTTTGTTATGGAAATAAATTGCTGATCCAAATACGTCCATATCCTCTTCATTACAAAGCTATCTGCATTTAACTGCATCCTGCAATAACCAATCACTCTAGAGCTATTTGAGACACCAACACCACAAGAAATTGCAGAAGAACTCAGGCAGCAAAAATGTGGCAAAGCTGCAAGTATTGATAGCATAATTCTGTCACTTTTGATAAAGGCATTTTACACAGTAAGTAGATCAATTCTGTGGCTAATCTTGTAAAAATGAGATTTCCAATCAAAATTCCTCACTTGGATCATCCAAATTCATTAAGCAAGACTGTGTGTTTGCCTCCACATTTTTTTTTCAATATTATTTAGCATGTTGTTAAAACAGACTACAGAGGTGATGGATGATAGAGACATGTATATCTGCATGCTCAAAAATGGTAATATGTTCAAGCTAAAGCATCTCCAGGCCACGATCAGACCTTTGTGCAGCTGGTCAGAGAGAAACCTTGTTCACAGATGATGCAGCTTCGGTTTATTGAATCAATCTAGTTTCTGACCTGAGTTAAAGTACAAATTGCACCAAGCAATTTGGAGCCTACCACATGGTTCACTTTGATTATAAATACTTGGACACATCTTCACCCTTCCTCTTTCTTGTGTTCTCAGTTTCACAGCAATGTAACTCTGTGAAGAGATCACATTTGTCCCTTAGGGGAAAATGCTATGAAATGTCATGACACACACACATGCACACACATACATATGAACATCTATGAACATCTACAAACATTCACTCTTTCAACCACAAGGACAGAAAAACTTAACTTAACATAGTGAGTTTTGCGACTTCAAACAACTTGCCAATCAACTCCACGTTGTTCAAACCTTTGAAGTTTTCAAGTTAAATTTTGTAACATAATTCAAACTTCAATCTACTCACTCACTCACCTCACCTTACATCACACTGGATTCATTCACTACATTGTGAAAGTTCTTACAACTGAATTTCATCCAGAATATATAAGAACAATACCCTACACTAACATATTTAACTACAAAGTTAAAGTTCTCAACAACAGAACGAAAATCTTTTTCCTGCATTAAAGAGAACATTTTCCTCACTCAAAATTCAAACTGATAGTGTGAAAATGACTTTATGAAGATTTTATTCCTTTTTATTACTAAAACAGTTGACTGTGTTTGTTTCTTTATTGCATTTTTATTTTATTTAGTGCCCACCTCCCAACAGGTAAACTGTCATCCTCACCAGTCCACTACTGTTCCATAACTTTTGAGAGTTGTATAATTTGTGGTGAAATAGGATCAAGGAATTCTAACTTACCAATGGCAGAGTTTAAAATGTCTCACCTGCCCAGTCAGAGCTGCCATTTGCAATTTAGGTAAAGTGCATGTGTGGTTCTAGTGCTTTTAAAATTATCACTAATTTTCATGCATGGACAAAAACCTGAATAAAAAGTGAGCTGCACAGATGAACAGGGAGAGAATGTACAAATCTTGACCTGGGCTAAACCTAGCTTGTTGCAACTATCAACCACAAGCTATTTTGGCAGACTGAATTTTGTCATGAACAAAATATTTGCCTATTGAATAATTCCAGAGTTTGGTGGTACTGCTATAGACACAGAGGAACTAGTTATACAATGGATCAAATGTGTCAACATGATATATGACCTTTGCACGAGAATGGACATCGAGCGAATATTCCTGCTGCACATCTAACATGGTGCTCTCATTGTATACCAGCAACTAGACAGAGAGGAGAAGGCGAGTTTGCAGCACATCAAACGAGCCTTCATAGATGTCTACACTCCAGATTTGTTTGTCACATACAACCAATTTGTAGCACAACAATTTTGGCCAGAAGAGATACTAAACAAGTATCTAACAGATTTGCAATGACTTGATCTGCTTATTGGAGATCAGCAGATGGTCTGCACATTCATGTCAGGACTTCCACAGAACATCAGGCAGCTTCTCCATGCATTGTCAAGAATGGATGTCATGACATTGGAACAATTGGTAACCCAAGCATGGGCCATTATGACCGAAGAACATAAGGAGATCACAGCTCAGTAAGTTCATGTACCATTTAAAACACAAAAGTGCGAGATGGTCTGCTATAGATGCTCTGGTCCCTATCACTTGGCCAGGAACTGTTTGCAGGGGTGTGTAAAAGAAACTATAGATCAACCATACTAGTCACACCAAAGAATATAATATTTCCGATGTAATAAGGCCAAGCATATTGCAACAGAGTGTCAGGGAAACACCTCAGGGGAGAAGTCATCAACATCAACTTACTCTCCAAGGAAGTGAAGAACGAAACACTGCCAACAACTGACATAATTTCTGAATGGAAGGAAGAACAACCCTACCAGAATCTGACGAAGATTCATCTGCTGACAAATCACCTGTAGATGAAACAACTTTACCAAGTAGTCTCCCTGTCACCAGCAGTGAGGGAGTTGATACAATAGCACCTCACAAACTACTAGACAACTAAGCTGGAGCTATCCCCCTCAGAAACAGTATACATCAGAAGTGGCCTGCACCTGGCTGCACTTTTTGTGATCACAAGATCTGGGGGTAGTGTGGTTAAATAGGATCAAAGAATTCTAACCTACCAGTGGCATTATAAACAACAGAGAAAAAAGTAAGTATTTTGTTTTTAAATTAAATTAAAAAACATGAAATCTGTGAGTTCACACTTGTTTACAATTATGACATAGAAAATCTAACTGATCAGTTCTTTGTAAATTTTGTGTACAGAATCTGAAATGAGTTCTGAAAATTTTATAAGGAAATTCTATATTTGATTGAAGATTTGAAAAAATATCTAAACCACATAGCTAAAAGGAGTTCTTTTTTGAAAAACAAAAACAGTTAGTAAACACTAACAAAGAGGAAAACAAATATAAGGTCATTTATATATTTAACAGGAGGCTGAATAAATCTAAGATTTCTATCATTTGTTTTCAATACCCACATCTTAAAGCTCAAACTGAGAACTCATAAACATTAATTCAGATACAAAGATAATTCTGAAACCTAACAAAAACAAAAGATGAAACAAAATAAAATAAGAGATAATCAGCAGTAGTTCAAACATAGCCATTTTTTAAGTGGCCTTTTGATTTGCAAATGAAAAAATATAAAAGCTAATGCCAAATGAAGTATATCAAAAAATTACAAAAAATATCTTTTCTGGAATATTCCATGAAAGCCAATATAGTAATAATAGTCAAAAATGATATGAGAGGCTATAAAATTCACAGTCTATAAATGATATGTCAAACTAGAAAAATATTATATAATCTTGAGAGATTGATTAAATCATTTTAGATAGACAGAAAATTCATTTACTACAATAGGGGTTTTTAAAAATGTTGATGTTTGATCATGTAGTCAGATTTTGGGGAGTGAACTGGGCTGATACTTTTCAGAACTCTCTCGTAGTTGTCTCCCTTTTAACAGTCACAAAATTTATTTGAAACCAACTGATCTTTAAGATGAAATAAAT